AAAAACTCAGTTTTCACATGACATTAAATTGGGAAAACACATTCTCCCTGTACCTCACTGCTACGATATTGTGGACAATGGATTGTCTTAACAGCATGCTATGATCCTTATTCTCTCTGATGGGCTAGCCATTAGCCACTATTTTCTCTATGAAATTCAAGAAATCTTTAAGGAAACTTCAGAAAGATTTTAAGAATCTTATTTGGCAGTGATAAATATTATACCTGTATTATTCTGGTGGCAGAGAATCCATTTTAACTTCTCTTTGTGGTTTACTTTAGATCTTATCCTGCCAAAGATGTCTGGTGTTTTGGTCAAAACAGACTTCACACTATGTGGTGACTAAGCAAAGTCCTTACATAAAGCTTGGAATCAGATTTTTAGAAATAGTTCTAATGAAAGGCATTTTGAAATAAGCAGGAAAAGAAATCTTACACATACAAAAACATTATTTTTAGGACATCACTTAATAATTCAAATTAAGTCCCATTCATTTAAATATTAAAATAAACCAGAAAACAAAATCTAAAGGAATGATAGCACATTTTTCAATGGTAGCTGCTTATTAAAAATGAGTGTCTGAGGGTATATTCCAATTTCATTCTCTTCAAATGGTGCAGCTCAGATAAAAGTTTATTTTACTGAAAATATTTGCAAAATTACAATATAAATACATGATTATATTAAGATAGGATGACTATTTATAATGTATTCTTATCCATAGATATAAAATGAATGCAGTAAATATAGTATACTCTTGATGAATTGTTAGTACACAGTGTTTCTTAGTAAAGTACATACAACCTATTATTAAGCAACAATTATCTAGTTTTCAAATGTACATCTTAGGAAGTTTTTAGGATGAAAGGATACATTAAGTCCCCCAATACCATTTTTGTTTGGTGAAAGTTAGTTCTTCTGCAAATTTTGAAATAATATATTTATCTTGGCAACTGTTCTTGGGCTCTTTACATTTCCTCAATTTGAAATTTTATTTCTGTAGTCTGGGTGTTTTCTTAATGACACCGTATCAGCCAACCATACGTTCAATTCTAATACAGTCATGTACTGTCTTTTCATTAGTTATTTAAACACATATCAACAATAAAACAGAATCATTAAAAAAAATTATCAGCACAAATTCCCAAAATTAACTTTCAGGGTATTACAGGGAGTCTCAACTAGATATAGTCTCAACTGTAATATTAATCTGGGCTTGATATAGGTTTTTTCTTTTTTAATTGCTTCTAGTCCTTAAAAATACAAATATGAACTCTACTTTAAAATTCTTTGTTAAATGTATTGGGATTTGTTTCAAAAGCATCGTCTACCCTTCTCCATTACACTGATTTAATGGAAACTTGTTACTACAGTAGTTTCAACACAAACATATGCATGCAAGAGATCACCCTATAGATTCTAACTACATAGTTATTGAAACACATTCCACCTGTCAAGTGGCATAATTGTACATCTTTTATATACAAAAGGTAAAGTGCATTATTAAATTAGTGAATTGACAGATTGTCTGCCTGGATCATATAGCTTTCAAATAGACAAATGTGAAATTCTCCCATTAGAACCAATTATTTCAAGAGGTTCCAACTAGCTTTTCCACCCTGTCATTTATTTTTTGGCCATGCTCTTTAGTGCAAATAAGCTTGTGTTTGACTCAAGTTTAAGGGACATGGCAATTTGGGGCTTTAACAAGAAAAATTATAAAATGTGGCAGAACGTTAATACTTTTATAATACATTGCATCTTTTGCATATAAGCAACAGATTAGTGCTGCTTTCAATTGCTAGGAGCATACTGCCAACTATTATGAGGAACCCGTTTCCAAATTTCATAGTATTAGCTTATATTATTACAGTTTGAGTCTGTACCACATTATGCTTGGGTTATTATGTGCAAACATCATCAGTGTTTTACCATTATACAGTGAACTAGTAATTTTGGTTACTAACTTCAATGCTCATTTTTTGACTTCTAACATCCGGATGCCTTAAGAGTATAATGTCTTCAAGGCAGGGATCCTGTTATTTTGAAGAATATCATGTACACTTGCAGCTCCATTTATGTCACAAATGACAATAAATAAAATATATATTGCACAGATAAGAATAGTAGCTTATTTTATAAGATACATGGCAATACATGTCCTAATACCAGAGTTTTGAACTGGATCTTATTTGATTATGGCTAATGATTGATTGGGAATTTTAAGTATAAAAAAATCATAGCATAATTTCATTTTCAATGAAAATATTAACCATGAAAAAATGAAACAAAAGGACTGGCAGAAGGCGTAATGATTCTAAAGCATATTCAATTGCTGGGAATAGATGATATATATGCATCTATCCAATCTGTAGTTTCAAGAAGGTAAAAACTTTGAAGTATACATACAATGTAGAACATTTGGCTGCTTAACTAATTCTTACTTAAATAATTACTGCGAAATTAAACGAATAATATTTACATACAATAAATTAAAGATATTTATCTTTGAGTCTGACAGTATTGTGTGTGTATGTATATATATGTAACATATGTGCACACACACATATATTTATATATATACACACACATACATACATACACACACAAACACACACTCAAATCTTATCAGACTGAAAACCAAAAGAGAAATCATTTAGACTTAACGGATATAAATATTTCAGAAGGGAAGGTTTTACGAGAGAGTATATAGTCACAGCAATAGTGATAGGAACACTCAAATACTGGAATATTCACAGCTCCAGTTTGCAAAAATCTGACAGGTTGATTATTATTAATAGGCACTATGATGGGCAGCAATAGCAATCAGTAGTACAGTAATTCAAGTGCACACCACTCCTTCATATACCCAAAACTATTTTTTATCAAGCCTACAATAGTTATTTTACAGTTAGGACTGTTTAAAGATCCTTGATACTTTTAGAGTCTGAACACCCACCATGTGCTATTAACTTTAGTACTAACATTATCTTCTAACCTTCAGTTGTTCCATAGTGATCCAGATGGTCCACAATTATAATGAACTAATGACATTCCTTTATATTACTTGAGGAAATGTGAAATACAATCTGCAAACCAACACCAGCATATATGTCTGGGTTATTGAATGCTTATTTTTAAGTAACATAAACCAGTGAAATTAATTTTCTTATTTCATATCATAAAGCTTCCTTAATGACCTTACTTAAAACACATTTGGGGACAAACCTCTGAAGGAAAAAATTGTTAAAATAACCTTGAGTTACATATAGCATATAAAAGAAGAGCTATATTCTGATCTCAATCCATGCAGCCAGCTCGCATCAATGAGAGCTATATTTGGGGGTTGAAATCAGTATCTGGCCCTTAAACATGATTATATGGACTTATTGTATGGGAGGGGAATAAAGCCAAGATATAAGACAATAATTTCATTCAGAATAAAATGCAGCTCAACAGATAAAAATCAGTCAGTTAATACAGGGTGGGTTGGTACACATATATACTATAACCACTTGTTTAAAAAATTGCTTAGGTGTTGAAAAATTGTTGTGGCACTTCCTGGAAAGTAATTTTTAATACATGTGAATGGGTGAGTCTTGTGTAAAGTAAACCTTTTTAAGTATTATAAAGAGCACCTTGGAAAATGCCTGAATTTTCCTTTCAAATATACTTATAACCAATCTTCAAATAATATTTTTCCCAGGCTGAAAATTTATATTCTAAATGTTTTATAGAAAACTCCCCCTTTTTGTTCCCTGGAATGAAAACACCTGTGAAAACCAGGTTTATATTGGAAGTGTTGACTCAGTTTTAAGGGTAGCAATTGCAAAAGTGTTACTAAAATATATTATTACAGATGCATTTTTATATGAGTTAACTGGTGCACCAACCCCTCTGAAATAGTGTTAAAGAAGCAGCATAAAATATAACACCTTGAGTCCATGATATATTTTTGGGAAATAAACCTCTCACAATCTTCAAATTAGCATGAAAAGCTAAAACACCAAGATTTCCATGGCAAAGCCACAAGATGAATCTTTACCCTCAATAGTGACATAAAAGTAATTCCTGAAACTTTGAAAAGTCAATAAAAATTTATGATACAATAAACAGAAATGAAGATGGGATTATAACTAGCTTAGAATAACCAATTAAAACTCTCCCATGGCTTTGATATGGCAACTATAAACTGTAGTGTTACCACAAAATTTGAAATTATAGGATACTATAGTAACTAAGATTTGATTCTTTAATGATACTGTTTAATATTAACATTCAGTTATCTAATGGACAATTAATATATTTCAACTTATACTTTTATAAATAAATATATTTATACTATACTTGAGGTCAATTTCTGTTTCTGTGGTAACTGTCCTACAGGTAAGCTTAGCAGCTTTTAATGAAATAGGAATGGGATACTTTTTTGGGGAACTTGTTAAACAGTAATTCACACTTCCATATTATGTATATGTATATTTTTTCAGGGTTATGTCATAGTGCAATATAAATTTTAGTTATGGTATTTAGAAGGTCAGAATGTCACATTTTGTGCTGATTTGCATACTTCAGTAAGTAGTCTGGAGCAGATGAAGCAGCTAAACTATTTAGCTCTGGGAAGGTGGGATTTCCCATAAGAATTATAGTGTTCTATGTAGAACGTAACATGAGAATCGGACTCCTTGAAGTATAAACTATAGAGGTATTACTAATAACAAAGGGCCAAAAAAAAAGAGGAAAAACTTCAAATGATTATGGATCAGTACTTTTAGCCAATTTATGATTTAAAATTTTGCCTGATGGAGTTCAATTTCACTCTAGTCGAGGCATTCTTGTTCTTCACCACTGGCCCTTCTGCCATCCATTCTCTTTTCTTTATGGCTGTTGCATATTTTCCTCATCTCTTCTTCATACTTGATAAAATTCTCCCCAAACCTTGTCCAAGCTTTGAACGGAACAGTAATAGTATTACGGTAAGGTGGTCTCACCTCACTTACCTTCAGGAAAATTCCATATTTATTAGAGCCCACATCAAAGTAGAACCTTTTATTGTCCACTCTGAAAGAAGTCCCCTCTGGGAGTTCAAGTGGGTCATCATCTTCACCTCTTCGTTCTTCTATGTCCCCTTCGCCATAGTCTTCAATTAGCTGAACCAAGGCATCACGAAACTCAATCATTCCTTGTGCTGGCAGGACAATAGTCTGTTCTTGGCCCAAACTGTGGCCAAAATAACCTATCATACCAGTCCCCCGCATCATGGTTTGTCTAATCCTTAGGAAGCGACCCCGCTGATTTTCCTTTAGGTCTAGATAATATTTCCTATTGTCCCTTTCTATGTAGTCTGTTTTGAGGACACTGTGAGGGTGCTCCTCGGACCCCACGGAGACTGGTGGAGAGGGTGCTGAGTGCTTCTGTCTCCTCCTGGAGCCTTGCTCTTTGCTGTGGCCATGCTCTTGCCGGTGGCCTTTCAGGCCCAGGTGGGCGTAATGTTCGATGAAGTCCCCTAGACAGTCCTTCAGCTCCGCTGCCACTGACAGGGAGAGGGTCAGTTTACTCTTTCTGATATTGTCCTGCCGGCCTCTCCCTATCCAGACTTCGGCTATCTTTAGGAACCGGCCCCGGGAGCTTTGCTTCACGTCTAGGTAAAACCTCTTTTTCTGGATGTCCACTCGTTTGGAGGCTAGCTCCTGGATTTCGGCTGCGCCCCCAGGCTGATTAGGGGTGGCTGAAGCCGCGTAGTGGGGGTAGTGGGAGTGCTGGGCCTGGGGATAGAGTCTACTCTTGCTTAGGCCAGAGCCCCCTACATTCTTGCCTCCGCGGCCGCGACCGCCGCCGCTTCCCCTGCGCCTGGCTCTTTCCATCTTCAGCTGCAAGTGACAAACAGACACACGGGGCGGGGTGGGGGAGGGGTGTTGAGAACAATCGCAGACGCCCCTCGGCCTGCGCTGCCCCCGCCTCCGCCCGGGACCCCCACACCGGGTTCCGTTCCCACGGCGCCGGCCGGCCCAGCGCCCAGCTCCTGCCCCAGCCGGATGGTCGGCGGCGGCCAGCGGCATCCCCAGTTCTGCACCGCGCGCACAGCATCCCTCCGCCGCCCCTGGCCTCCCGCTCCCGCTCCCGCTCGCCGCCAGGCGCCCAGCTCGGGCTCGGCAGCCCGGGTCCCCAGCCAGCAGACACTCACATCAGCATTGCCATCACCGCCGTGGCCGATGCCCTTCACGACCGCCGCCGCCGCCAGCTCTCGGCCCCTCTGCTGCAGCCGCCGCAGCCGCCGCCCCCCGCCTGCTCCCCCGACGCCGATCGCACCGCCCCCCGCCGGAGCAGCCCGGCAGGGGCATCGCCTGCGGCGCCCACCGCCGCCACCCCTCCTGCGGCCGCTGCGGGGGCCGCCGACTCTCTTCGGGCACCGGCCCGACACCGGCCGGGGAGGGGGGATGAGACGCGGGGAGGGTGGCGACGCGGGGCGGGCAGTGGACCCCGCCTCCTCCAGCACAGCCGGCTAATGGGAAGAGGGGATCTCGCGTTCTCCCTCCGGGTGCGCCCTGATGGAAGCCTAGCGCGTGAGTGCGAGGTGACGGGACAGGTGTGAAGATGGGAATAAGGACTAGGGTGGCGAGAGTGTTCTGACTTCTCCACGTTCTGCCGGGATGTAGGACTCCTGCGGCCCGCGGCACCCGCACACAGACTACAATTCCCAGAGTGCTCAGCAGCAGCGGGTGTCCCCGCGCACGCGCGCCGCGTAGCCAGACAGTCTGGGACGCCGGGGCTGCAACCCCGAGGCGCGGCGGCGCGCGGGGTGGGGGCGGGCCCTGGAGGGAGGGGTGCGGAAGGTTGCTGAGTGGTGTGTGCGTCGTGACGCTCCAGCGTGCACTCCTGAAGCGCCGGAATAAATTCTGTTGAATTGGTGTCTATCCTGGATGCCTGGGTTCCAGGCCGTGGTGGTGTGGCGCTCCACAGGTCATCCAGCTGAAGAATACCCATTGAACTGGTTCTTCTCAGGGTAATGTGCCCTCCCCACCCCTGCTTCCGCCGGCTCCAGACCCTGGGGTATCACTCTAGCCTTCTCGGATGCTGCAGGAGCCTGCCCCGCAGAGCAGGCCTCTGGGCGGTGTGTGGGAGATGCCGTAGAAACGGAATCTCCTTTCCACCTCCCGAGCACCGGGGAAACGGTCCCCGACCGCCTGCAGGCCTGCTCGGAGCGTCTGCCCGTCAGACACGAGCTTCCCGGCTCCTGTGACTGGTTGCCCTAAGGATCCTGTCTTTCCCCCACGGTCTTTACCGCTGGAGAAATCGAGCCACTCCATATTTACACAACAAAGTGAGAAATAATTTATGTGTAATTTAGCAAATTATGTTGAATTTCTTAAGTTGAGATCATTCAGTCCTTAATGTTTTTTAAGATAATTTTTTATTTTTCAATTACAGTTGACATACAATATTATATTAGTTTCAGCTGTACACCCCAGTGATTACATAACTTACTAAGTGATTTTCCAAATAAATCTAGTGCCCATCTGACACCATACATAGTTATTACAACATAATAGACTGTATTCCCTTTGCTGTACTTTACATCCCCATGACTATTATGTAACAACCAATTTGTACTTATTAATCCCTTTGATATCAGACAAAGTGGGGGGTTCTCTTCCCCACTGGGTACTGCTGGGTGGTGGAATTCTTGATACTCCGAGAAAAAGAATTTTCTGAGACTTGTGCAGGAAAATGAGTGATTTTTATTTGTATGGAATTAAATCCCTGTGTTTCTAAAGCCCCATTTCTCTTAGTCCAGTCATAGAAGAAGTGTAGCTGGGGTTTCAGTAAAGTTAAAAGCAAAGCCAGTGTCCAGAGTTTCTATGTTGGAGACAGGTCCAGTACAACATCAGGCTAGCTGCAGTCTATTAGTCCAGTGTGTGTGGGAGTCCAAATGGCGGTGGGCCACACAGGAGAATGAATGCCAGGAAGTCAAGAGTGGCCCATGAGCCAAGTGTGCCAAGAGGACCCAAGAGAGCCAATGTCTTTGTTCAGGGATATTATATATATCCCAAATTTACTTTGCTTGCTGTGGCCACACCCATTCTGGCCAATGACCTCTGTTCCCAGGTGTAACTGACAGCAAGCACCTTCCCTAGTCTTCCCAACTTTAGTAGGCATGCAGCTATCTTCCCTTTGTCCAGTCCCCTTCTCCCAATGATTTGAGAACATGCCTATAATGTCTGGCCGTCACTTTGCTCTTTTCCTATTATTAATAATTTGCTAATTACAAAAATATCACCTTCATCTTTTTCACCTATCCTCCCATCTGGCAACTGTGAAAGTGTTCTCTGTATCTATGAGTCTGTTTCTGTTCTGCTTCTTCCAGGGTAGGAGTTTGGGTAAGTTTCTTTTTGATTGCTTAAGTGAACTGTGAAGCAAGGTCATAAGTTGAGAGTAAGGATGGGGGAGGAGATACGATACAGTTAAGTAGAGTGGCAGAGGTATGAAATAGAAGGGAAGGATAGGAAATAGATTAGTGAGAAGTTGTTGAATTGCTAGGAAGACTAAAGGCCCACTTGAGGTTGGTAGCCACAAATTTAAGGTGAGACCAGTCACCATGGTTGTATTTTTCACCTGCTACTTTCATTCAACTTCGTAGCTACAGGCAGTCAGCAGAAAACTTGTTTTTAGACAGGGTTCAAGTTTTGCCAAGAGAATGATGAAGCTAAAGATGGGCTGTGAAATGAAGGGAATATGCAAGGAACTGTTACAGCTTCTTTTAAAAAATATTTTTTTCTTTATTGATTTTAGAAAAGAAGGGAGAGGGAGAGAGGGATAGAAACATCAATAAGAGAGAACATGGATTGGCTGCATCCTACATGCTCCCCCCTGGGGATTGGTCCCACAACCTAGACATGTGTTCTGACCGGGAATCGAACTGGCGATCTCTTGGTGCATGGGTCGACCGACGCTCAGCCACTGAGCCACACAGGCCGGGCTGGTTCCAACTTTTTAATTTAAACTGGTCAAGGGGAAGATGACTGGATAAAGAAGATGTAGTATATGTGTATAATGATGGAATATTACTTGGCCATAAAAAGAATGAAATTTTACCATTTTTGAAAACATGGATGGACCTAGAGGCTATTTTGCTAAGTGAAGTCAGACAGAGAAAGACAAATACCATATGCTTTCCCTTATATGTAGAATCTAAAGAACAAAATAAACAAACCAACAAAACAGAAACAGACTCATAGATACAAAGAGCAGACTGATGATTGCCAGAGAGCTGGGTGAAAAAGGTGAAGGGATCAAGAGGTACAAATTGGTAGTTACAAAACAGTCCTGGGGATGTAAAGTACAGCATAAGGAGTATAGTCAATAATATTGTAATAATAATGTATGGTGCCAGGTGGGTACCAGACATATTAGAGGATCAGTTTTTAAATTATATAAATGTCTAACCACTATACTAATACAAAACAATATTAAATGTCAACTGTAATTGGGAAAAAAGAAAAAAAAATACTGGTCAGGGAGGAAATAAAGACTACCCAGGGTGAGCAGAGTGAAAAGGTACTAGGATCATTGGGGTATGGGTCCTAGTTGGATCAAAAAGATTGTTTGAGTTAAGTTTCTAGGGGGAATGAATTTGAAAAATAGGAGATATTGATTGGAGAGCCAGATGCTTGGAACAGATTATGGAAGGATTCAGTTGGTAGTAACATGGTATCCACATGTGAACAGATGAGTATAGAGCAAGGTGGAGGTAAGATTATTAGACAAGAGCTAGTCAGAAAACAGGGATACTCTCTCTCAGATACTGTGCATCAAAGGTTGTGACCCATTGGGCAAGGAAAGGGAGAAAAAAGGTAGGATATAGATATAAATGGCTACAATACTGATGGTGATAGTGATCATAATGGTCCATTAACACCCAAGTCAAATACCATCAACTTGATCTATATCTAACACTTGAAAGTTAGGTAATGAGTTACATATGTTTATATGGTAACTCCTAGGCAACTCTTAAGCACTTCATGGACTTCTGTTGAGTGGCAGGTGATATAAGGCTTCTTTTCTTAGTTGTCAGTTTAAAATTCTTCACCAAAGTCTTATTATAATGCAGATTCTATAGAAGTTTTTGTTGGTTTTCTGTGTGGCTTCTTCTTTGGCTTGGCTTAGCTCTGAGGGCTGTGAATAATTTATTGGTGAGAAGGCAGGCAGAAGAGTACTCTATGACCTAGTAATTTCACATCTAGGAATGTATCCTATAGCAGTAATAATATGAATGTCTAAAGGTACACAGAAGGGTGTTCATTAAACATTATTAGTGATGAAATTTGCAAGCAACCTGTCATCAGTAGGGAATAGTTAATATTCAATAAGGATACCAATATCAATAGAGATATACTAGCAATACAGATAGATAAAGAAAATGGAATTCTATACAGGTTTCAAAAAAATCAGATGAAGAATTGGAATTAGGTTTTACTTATCCCATTCTGTCCACAGGGATGCTTTCAGTTGCAGCTCATGGAAAAACCAAATCAAACTAGCTTTAGTGATGAAAGGTTATTTATTAGCTTAGTTAATTGACACATCCTGAGGCAGATTGACCTTCAGGCAAATTCAGTCAGAGCTCAGACTGTTTTTCTGGCCCCATATTTGGCTTTCTTCCATGAAGAAGACATGAAGGTGCTTTATCTTCAGGGTGATTTCTTGTATGATTTTAAGATAACTGTGCAGCATCCATGGTAGATATTTCTTTCTTCACATCTAGCAGGAGCAAAAGCATTCTTTCCCATACCCTGGAAGGAGAATCCTGAGCTTTGCTACAATTGGACCACTTTGTATCTAATAATTATGGACAGGAATGGAGAGGAGGGAGCTGAGACCTAGGTTGTAGTTCTTATCCCTAAATCTGTCCTGTGGCAAGGGGAATGAGATTTCCCTGTTGGCCTTAAAACAATTGGGTTTCATTCCTGATACAGGTGTTGAGGTCATCCCATTCAAAAAGCTTTGCTGTTCCACATTTGAGGGCCCAGGTGGGGAGGGCTAAATGGGTTTGTTACTCTCCTTTTTTCCCTAGTATTAAGGTAGTCAGACTTTTTTGCCCCTTTCATTCTTGATTTTATTAAAACCATGAGACTGTTTGTTTATCCTAGGATCCCAAATTGGAAAACTATAAATCACTTTTGACTTCATGATTTATAGAGGCCCTTCGAATTACTTCGAACAAGGGAGATAGGAAGGAGAGAAGCAGGGAGTGGGGAGAGAGAGTGTGATCATGCTTATTGAGAAATAAACTATAGACTATTAAAACTCTCCCTCCCTTCACATACCTTACCTCAATTCTATTATTTTCCCTGTAAGGGCTCCTGTTAACTGCTATGTATTCTCCTGGATTGTTCTTTGCATTTACTTAGACACTGATTTCATTTACTGTTTTAAAATTTAAATGGCA